AGAATCATGCCAGGATGATTCAAATAACATGCCAATATATCGTCAAATTAATAAAACCTATTTCTTGTTCTTCTTCATTGAAGTAGAGAAAACAATCTAAAGTGCCCGTTTTTTTTTTGCAAAAGAGTTTATAATATTTTAACGCGCATTTTAAGTATAGGCGGGAAAGTTTTAAGTTAAAAACGCCTAGGTGAATCGTAAAAGCGTCGTATTTCATCATAATAATGCCAAACCTCAAACATTTTTAAAAGCCATCAAAAACTATTGCAGTTAGGTTGAAATGTGCTACCAGACCGTATTCGCCTGACGTAGCCCCTTCAGATTTTTACTTGTTTCGGTTTTTACAAAATTCTTTGAATAGACACGACTTTAATAATGAAGAGATCCAGAAACGACACGTAGAGCTGTATTTTATAGGTACCTTAAGACAGAAATTTTAATGAACGAGGAATTCTAAAATTACTGTAACGATAGCAAAAGTTTGTAAATCAACATCGCCAAAAGATTCGGATTCATTTATTTCTCAAATATAATATTATAGTACCAGTTGCACTACATGTCCAAGCAAAACAAATTATAATGAGATCGTCAAACAAAAATGAAAATTTTAAGACGAAAATACACAATAATTAGAAAATTAATAATATTGTTGTCATAGGAAATGACACCATTCTTCCGGATTTAAATCGCGTATATTTGTTTTTTCAAACAAACCAACGTTTCGTATATTTGTCTGAAAAAACGTGAAAACCTAGGAACTCCATATTGTTCTCATTAAATTACATATTAAATATCATTCTCCGTTAAGGATAAGTTGATAACAAATATACAAAATTATGTGAATGCGATGAAATTTAAAGTAAAATAAAAAATACTTATTAATAATTTTAGGTCCACAAATTCATTCAAAGAACATAAAGGATTTTCCAAGAAAAGGTCTTTCAGCCGGCGCCTAAATGTTTCGTCATATGGTTCAAGTCAGAGAGTAGCGGGTAGACGCTCATAGTAAGTAGGTAATACATAATTTATCAATGTTTGGTTTCTAATGTGAAAAACATTTACACATTACATAACATTTATGCTTTGGTATCGTACGGAATTTGTGGTCAACTCATGACTAATGATTATTACATAGACTCGTCTAATTAAAGAAAACCCACAATTTTACACTAAATTGGGAGATGCGACGCGACACCATCCAACAAGATACGGAAATAATCTCGTAATACAGACGTCAAAATTAAAGTTGCATATATCGAGCTCATATGCAATCAATGACAATATACAACAAACTGCCCGAGCATATAAAATAAGAAAATAAAACAAATAAATTCATTAATAACTTTAAAACACACACCAGTGTACTAGTGTAGAACATAGTAGTGTATAAAAGCTATTGTACACTACAACAATATTTAGACGATATTTTTCTATAATATTGACCTGCCAACTGTTGTTCCTATGTTGCTGTGCCCTGCAGGGTTCATTATGTTTTCTATGTATGCTCTATATAAGATCTAAAGCTATGTACTTGCACTCATGTAATTAACAAATAAATTAAAATACAATTCCATCGAGCGCTACGACCCGGGTCGTAGTCATTGTGATGAGGTTTCAAGGTTTTCCCTTAGAACCTCTGTCATAAACTTTATATTGTGTCAGATTTGAATATTTAAGCAACTTTGAAAATATCCTATAAGAACACTATTAGATTAATATGTACCGTTCTGATTGAAATAAGCAAATCTTCCAGTTACTTCGTTTAATGTGTAGACGTAACGAAAATTTTTAGAAAAAAAAACTTAGATACCGAATATTATAACAGAACGTTGTACATCTCTAGAGGTTTGTCACTCGTCACGTGTCGCCATCGTTAGGCCGGCAAAATGCAGTAACACAGAAAATCGCGTTTTTTCCTGATTCATTTTTTCACGACTATCGTTAGTGGAATGGGGAAGAGCACACATTTATGGAAAGCTGAATGTACGACTAACCCAATTCAATTCTCGCTACTATTAATTTGAATTGACGGAGTAACCTTGGAGCGGCTCTTAGAGGACGACCCCCTTACTAATCCTCTCCGAAAACGGCGACTGGGGTTGGGCTCATCTAATCTAACATTAACTTCTTTACGAATTCAAAACAAAATGGCATGACACAAACTAGGATATAGGTCGTATTTAAATACATACTACTACGCAACTACTGGATTGTCGCAATGCTTCGTTTAAAATATTAATATAATTAACCTTAATCAAAGGAAGGATAAAACTCAATTTTAAATAAACACAAATTTTACCACAAAATTAACCTGAATCGTTTTATATGGGCAGAACTTAAATCATAGAAATAAGCACTTTTTGAAAACTATTCAAGTGATATTTTTTAAATTCTTGCCAATTAGAGATATTACGTTTGATTCCTAACATATCAAAATGTCATCAATCCATGTTGTCTACATTCATAATAAACCTCATAATTATGAGCGTAAAGTTCAAAATTCTATGCTGATACGAAACAAGATACACTTGTAAGTACGAGTAGAGTCCAATTTGCTGACTTACAGAGAATACACTTAATTGCATGGAAAGGTGGCAAGTTAAAATTGCATAAAGATAGAACAGCAACAAGGCGGCGAAAGATTAATTAGTGTGATTGGATAATTGTAGAGCGCTGCCCCTTGTACTTTCGAGTGCGAATGTCATAACGAATGTATTTATAAAATATATTTTTCTTTTCGCAAGTAGGTTCTATAGGTTCATACATCCCATCACACGACTCTCAACTGAGAGCTTTCGCCAACAGTGTACTATGTACGTAAGTCCATTGGAGTTTGGGGATTTCACTTATCCTCAAGTGTTTTGTAAGCCTTCTCCGAGCTCTTCAATATAAATATAAATAAATAATATAATGTATATGTATTAGACAATATCATATAGATTTCTCCGATACCAAAGTAAGTAATTAAAGCACTTGTGTTATGGAAATCGCAAACACCACAAACACTCAGACTTGAGACATTATAGAAAAGTTACTTTTTCTACATTGACCCGGCCGTATCGAAACCAGGACCTCAGAGATGGCGACTCTTTGAAAACCGATGCGCAGGCCAATCGACTACGAAAGTTGTCAATGTTGCGCTGTTAAAGAAATTAAATATATATTTTTTTTATAAAATCAAGTGACAGGACGACCAAGTCGTATGTGGTACACGCCTGTCCATAACAGTTGCAGTGCCACTAAGAGCAATAAACCGCAAAGATCCCGAAGAACCCGTCACCCTGAGACATAAGTTGACAAGTTCTATGTGCTTGTAATTTCACCAGCACTCTTACCCTTCAAAATCGGTAATGCTCACATTACTGCTTGGCGGCAGAAATTAGTAAGATGGCAGTACTTGCCCGGACAAATTCTTTCACAAGGAGCTCTACTGCTGTTTGTGAAAGAGTTCGTCCAGGGAAGTACTGTCATCAAAACTATTTCTGACGTTTTGAAGGGTCAGGGCGCGTGTATACGCTAAGACAAGTCGCAAGCCTCTATACAAGAATTCGTGTCGTTTCTGCACACGAACTGTGTACAAAGCCTCGGCGCCGGACAAGAAAAAAATCTTGTCTACCCCCGACGCAACGCGCTCTGCCGCTATTGCATAGGGCGCATTGTCAGTAAACGAACGTTTATGCGCGTGGACTGATTTTGTAAAGTAGGGACCACTGTTGCACCACTAATTTCATTGCGACTAATAAAATGCATGATTTATTTATAAGTTTAGTAGAGGAACGACCCGCATTGTGGGACAAAACCTTAGAGATGTATAAAGATAAACGACGTACTTTTGAGGCATGCAGAGAAATATTTATTACTCTATACATATAATTTGCAATCACCATTTTTTTATTAGTAGTCGACATATTTCTTCACACAGTCGGTAGTAAAACGACAGCTACCTGGAAATGCACTGACACTTTTGCCCTACACACATCTGCCCGAAAGCATTCGTATCGTGTACATACTCATCATTTTCTTGTCTGCAACAGACACGAAATATGTTCGTAGCTAGATCCGACAAAATTCTTGTCATGTACAAGGCCATTCTCGTCTTTTCTGTTACAGACACGACGAATTTTTTATCGTGTACACGCGCCGTAAGTGTACTAGTTGTTTTAAATTCCATTTTAAAATTAACACCAAAATTGAATTTCAAAACAGGACGTAAAATTTTTTGAAATGGCGCCTTTGCCTTTTCTACAAAAAACCGACGATATCTTTTATGTTAACGTCGTAAGGTATAATTTTGAATTAAAAAAATATATACATGGTGCATCTTTGGATGTGACCGTGGCCTACTTAAATATTTATTAAAATGTCTTATTTACAGTTAGATGGTGTCGTATCGTATACAGTTGTCTTAGTTTACAAAAATAATACTCTTTTAAGAAGTCATCGAGTTGTAAATTACTTTTAATCGATTCAAAAAAAGGAGGAGGTTCTTAATTCGACGGCACGTTTTTTTTTGTATGTATGTTACGCGATAACGGTATTTGTGAACAGATTTTCGTGATTCTTTTTTGTTGAAAAGAAGAAAATCATCCATCTCTAAAGGTGGCTGTTCATGCATGAAGATTCATTTTTATAAATATACTTTGAGTAGTGACAACCGATTTTTATTATCTCCTGTGTCGTATAGTGGCGAACTAGGGTATGAATCCGGGTTTGCGCACTTTCCGATAACCGATTTCAATAAAACTTGGTAATTATATCTACTTCCACGTACTTTTGAGGTCAGTTTTTTTAGTACTCTGTGCTGAGGTTAGGCTATCTCAAGATTAAATCAATGATTCTATATATTCTTATTCACCAGTCACGCCTCACAATTGCGTCATACTTTTGAGATTGCGCTTTTCCCAGTGACTGTACGATGCCCCAGTGACTCAGTGATTTTAAAGACGGGGGTCTTTAAAATCACTGCCTCGCTTAACTCTGCGATGACTAAACGTCTCAAAATGAGGGTTTTTTTTAAAAACATCCTCGAAAATTGCGTAACAACCGTCGGACCGAAGTCTGAAGTCGATGAAATAACAAGAACCGCTTTGATCGTTCAGAGCATCTTCGGTCAACAAGTTTTAGATCCTAATTGGGCTTGGAAAAAATTCTCTTTTCATTACATCTTCTTTCTTTGTATTTCCATTTACGTATTTTTTGGTACTGTACACACATTTCAAAATACTACTGACGCTGGATTAGTTGCTGAGGCTAACTACACTCTTATTATGACGTTTGTTTTTCCTATAAAACTTCTCATCTTCATTAAGAATCGTTTTATATTCCAAGATTTGTATTTGATGACTAAGAAATACATGATTCCAGCTATAAAAGAAAGTGGAAAGCTTGAAGGCTTCAGTCGGAAGGCAAAGAAAATAGTATACTTACTGTTTGGGTCGGTTGTCGTTCCAATAATGATTTACGAAATCATCGCCTTGATCAATTATGTGAACAGGATATATACACCACTATCAAAAACAACTTCATCTCTGATGCCTAATAAAAGTCCTTATCATGAAATAGCTTGGATCTTGCATACAATATTTATGTGCTTAGTTACTACTACAATTATTATGGACTTGTGGTTTGTTCTATTAATCTATTTTCTATGCTTGGCAAGTGACAATTTGGTGACAAACTTAAAACTAAGCGAAAAGAGTCAAATTGATAGCGTATACAAGAAAGAATTGAATAGCTGTTTGAAGAAATTTTACAACGGACATATTGTATTTATACGGTAGGAATAGTTGTGTTAAGATTTTTTTATATTTTATTTCAATTTATAGCAGGAAAAATTCCAAAATATTGATTTTGTTAACTTTTATTGAATGAGAATAATTTTTAATCGTGAGTGAAGAAATTTTCATGACTTTCTTACATACCACAAAGATCTCCAACGAGTGTATAGACAAATTCCTAACAAAGTTTGGTGACACCTTTCTCAGTCGATTAATGGAATCCCCTTCCAGCGCCCATATTCCCTCCTTACGATGAGGTCCTTCAAACGAGGTGTGAAGAGGCATCTCGAAGGCATTCAGGGTTAAGGTGGTTAGGGCAATAATTGTATCACGGTTCCTTTACGTTTATATTCTGCTTTCCACTTAACATCAGGTGGAGTGTAGTCACGTATAAAAAAAATCTGCCGACTCATCGAATCCAGTCAGAACGAAGGAATTTTCCTTTGTGTAGTTCGACTTTTGTATCAATAATAATAACAATCTAGTGGAATATTTTCATAAAAAAAAGTATAATTATGACAATTATGGTAGCAAAGACATCATATAATGATGTGTTGATATTGATAAAATAAATATTCAATAAAATAAATATTGCATATGATTTTGTTTCAGATTCCTAAGCACAATGAACAAAATTTACAAATGGCTGGCTTTAGTTCCTTTAGGCAATGCAGTTATGGGCACTTGTATGATTTTATTGGTAATGAGTAAGGTAAATGTGATGTACCATATTACTTGTGATCGATAAGAGCGCTGCATGATTTGTCACATAAACATTTTATTCAATCGCTACTGACTTCTATAGAGTCTATACTACCTCAAATGGCTTGGGTTGATTCCGCGTAACAGTGAAAGTGTTGAATCAACACTTTGGAAAAAAAATATAGTAAAATTGAGGACACACTGTGTAAATACACGATTCATAAAAAATTTCACGATAGAAAAAACATAAACTTACCTCAAAATTTTACAAGAAAACCGCTTTACGTACTTACATATGATTTTTTTAATATGCACTGAACTAAACAGAACACGTATACGATATACCTCGATTTTCAAACGGTTTTAATTTTGTTAGTGAAAATATTAATTCTGAAATAAAGCCAGTGTCCCTGCCGTTCGAGTCAAGCAAAATGAAGCGTCTTACTACTAGAAAAAGTTGAATTCGTGCTGAGGTAGTATCAACTCTTAAATATAGTACGCTTTGACCATGTTCATCATCAACTATTTGTACGTCTTACGGCACGGGACGGCTATTGCCCCACGCTGTCCTAATGTTGATAGGGTTATACACGGTTTGTGTACTTTCTTCAAAATACTGGTTTCGTATGTTTACATTGACCATTAACGAGATGTACCTACCGTTACTAAACGTTCACAAATGTACGTAACTTAGAAAGTACAATCATGTGACTCACAAAAGCTGTGGTAACCTCCCTACCGCCTTCTAAGCAGAGGCCGTGGGTTTGAATCCAGACTCGTGCCTTTGCGTTACGGAATTTATGTGCGAAATTTATTATTAAATTCACCATTAACTTTTCTGTGAAGGATAACATCATGAGGAAACCTGTACGTAGAAAAAGGTTCACAATCCTTGGAAAATGTGTGAAGTCCTGTAGTGTATGCGACTTGACATACTTATACACTGCCTAGTGTGCCCATGCGTGGGTACACCCAGGCGGTATCATGAGGGCTGTCGGCGAGAGCGGACGGGATGTTACGTCATGCATGACATTGCTACTTTTGCCGTGTTCTCAGGGACAGAAGCAAACATAGCAGTTCCCAGCTCTCAATAGGCCAGCGTGGCGGACTTTGGTCTAACCTAAAGAGAAGACCCGTGTTCGGTAGTGGGACGTATAATTATATTAATAATGATGATAAAAATTATGTCTTACAATAATTGAGAAGCTGTGTTCTCCCACTCATTGATAACCACTCTTACCACGTCTTTCTATTTTTCTCCCGGAACGTCATTGGAATATCAACAATCTCCGAACAGAGCGTGTAACAGTAAAATGCAAACGTCGGGAGAAAAATCATGCCGTTGTAAGAAATATAAACTTGTGGCAATCATTGTGAAACTTTGTAATTGTAATTTTTTAGAACGTAAACTTGCGATTCGCTGTTCACTTCATGCCAATGTTTGGCGAGATCGTCATTTACAACTGGTTCGGAGAAAAGATCAAAAGCCAGGTTTGAATTATTCATTATTCATTTATAACTAAGTTTTTATTTTTAATAATTTTATTTAGTTTCTTTTGTTATTCTATTTTCTGTTTGTTTTAATTTAGTTTGTTTTCGTTTTAATTTAGTTCTGTTTTTTTTTTTTTTTTTACTTTTTATTTTTTACTGTGTATTATTGTGTTGTGGCGCTATGTAATAAATGTATTCTATTCTATTCTATAATTATATCTTGCTATATGTAATAGCTATTATGTAATCAGTGTGTAAGTACTGTCACAGCAAAGTTGACAACAAACCTTAAGAGGCGATACTACCTTAGCTCGTATTCAAATTTTATAATAAAAAAATAAATAATAATAGAACCGGTTCTAGTGCGCGAGTGACACTGGCCTGACATAAAATCTATTGAATACAGCGGATTTGTAAAATTTTGAGGTAAGTTTTGGTTTTTGTTATCATGAAAATATTTGGGAATCGTATTTTTTCACCATATTAAACTAATCAGTATCCTCAATTTTACTATATATTTTTCCCAAAGTGATTCAACATTTTCACCGTTATAATCAACCAAAGCCATTTGAAGTTGAATCGTCTCTTAAGGTTTAACCCCCGATGCAAAACGAGTGGAGTGATAAGTTTGAAGCCTTTGTCTGTGTATCTGTACGTCTGCCTATGACATCACAGCTCCCAAACGGATGGACTGATCTCAAAGCGACTTTTTTTATTTGAACGATAATTTAATCTGGATGATTCTTAGCTATGTCCGATTTATTTTTGTCCTAGTTAGTGTAGGGATCGCATTCATGAAATGAATATTTATTTTATTTTCTCTTCTCCAATCGATTTGAACTTTGGTATAGTATGGAAATCCAGTGACTTTAACCTTAGTTAGATTCTGACACCAGGACATTTTGCTGGCTACCCAACCCCTCAAGTACTTTTTTTTATAACATAAAGTGACGGGACGAACAAGTCGTGCACCTGATGGTGAGCTAGACGCCTGTCTATAACAGTAACAGTGCCACTCAGAGCTTTAATTTGCACAGATTTGAGGAGCATTATCACTGCGCCCGTCAGTCTGAGGCATAAGTTGACAAGTCCCATGTGCCTGTAACTTCACCTACACTTACAGGTAGAACTAATTAGTATACGACGTGTAAACACGATCCCTAAAAATTTTTCACGATAGAAAAAAAACACACTTACTCGAAATTTTGCAAGAAAACCGCTGTATTCAATAGGTACTTTACATATTATACCAATGTTTTTTTTATAACAACTGAGTTCAGTTAATAAAAAATAATGCATATAGTATACGATACATATTTTTGAAATGGTTTAATTTCGTTCCCACCCGCCGATTCAGTACGGCAAAAATTTGAATTTAAGCTGAGGTAGTATCGACACTTTTTTTTATTAAAATGTAAGTGTGCATTTGACCTCCATCTCACCTGATGGAAAATGACGTCATCATCGCTTCGATCGACGATGGAACATGATTAAAAATTAAATTGATTTCGACGAGGTATGTATTAGCTTACAGAGTACACTGTTTTGTATCGAGGGTTTTTAAAATTTGATTACTTTTTATTTATTTAGGACCACCAACATGTCATAAACATTTCATCATCATCATCATCACTCAGCCATATGACGGCCACTGCTGTGCATAGGCCTCCCCCAACGATCTCCACGACGCCGACGATCGGCCCTGCGCTGCCCGCATCCATCGGCTTCGCGCGACCTTTACCAGATCGTCGGTCCACCTGGTGGGGGGCCTACCTACTGAGCGTCGTCCGGTGACCGGTCGCCATTAAAGAACCTTTCCGCCCCAACGGCCATCGGTTCTCCTAGCTATGTGCCCCGCCCACTGTCACTTCAGCTGAGCAATTCTTCGAGCTATGTCGATTACCTTAGTTCTCTTACGGATTTCCTCATTTCTGATTGTATCACGTAGGGAAATACCGAACATTACTCTCTCTATTGCCCGCTGAATAACCTTGAGCCTTCTTATAAAGTCCATAGTGAGGGACTACGTTTCCGATCCATATGTAATCACTGGCAACACACACTGATAAAAAACTTTCGTCTTGAGACATTGAGGTAATTTGGACGCGAAGATTGTTGTAGTTTCCCGAGCGCTGCCCATCCGAGCTGGATTCGACGAGAGATCTCTTTCTCAACGTTGGACTTACCTAACTGGACTATCTGCTCCAGGTATATATAATGATCAACAACTTCGAGTGTAGTGCTCCCAATTTTATCTGGAGCGGGTACAACATGGACGTTCAACATGATCTTCGTCTTGTCACTACTGAGATCTTCGAGCATTGTGTTCAGGTCTCCTAAGATCTCAGTCATAAGAACTATATCATTGGCCAAATCAAAGGTGTTAGATACTTGCCATTGATATTGATGACAAGTCCTTTCCAGTCCAGAAGCTTGAAAATATCCTCCAACGCAGCAGTAAACAGTCTCGGAGATATGACATCTTCCTGTCACACGCTTCGTTGCAGTTGGATAGGATTGATCCTGTAATCGGACTGACATAGTAGCGTTTTGGTATAGGTACCTTAACACCTCGATATACCTATAGTCTACTTGGCACCTTTGGAGAGACTGCAGCACCGCCCAGGTCTCGATCGAATGAAAGGCCTTCTCATAGTCCACAAACGCTAAGCAAAGTGGCCGGTTATACTCCTCGGTTCATGATAACTCTCGAAAACAACTTATAGATATGGCTCAGAAGCGAGATTGGCCGATACTTCTTCAAGAGTGTTTTATCACCCTTTTTGAAGTACAGGACGATCTCGCTTCTGCCCCAAGCCTTCGGCGTTTGACCTTCGACGATGACAGAATTGAAAAGCTTCTGAAGGACTTTAAGTATCGGCTTGCCGCCCGCTCTCAGAAGTTCTGTTGTGATTCCATCATCGCCCGCCGCTTTGTTGTTCTTGAGTTGTTTAAGAGCTACACTAACCTCATACAGACTGACGTCCGGGATAGCTTCGGTATAATGTCAGGTAAGCTTGGCTCTGGGATCTTTAGCCTCGCTTTCAACAGGTGCTTTCGTAGAGAATAGCTGTCGATAGAAACTCTCTATCTCCCTCAGGATTTCAGGCTTAGATGAAATGATACTACCGTCATCAGTTTTCAGCTTCGTCAGTTGGCTTTACCCAATAGACAAATCTCTCGCGGACGTCTTGGAGCCTTTGTTCCGCTCAATGACCTCTTTAATACGCTCTGTATTAATTTTTATTATTAATTTAAAGACTTCGATATGTGCCTGTTTAGCTGCCTGTAGTGGCTTGCATCCTCTGAGTTCTGTAGCCTCATTTCATGTCTCTGTTTCATGAGTTAGAGTGTTTTGTAGGAGAGTTTCTTCATTCTGGTGCGGTGTGTTTTGAAAAACTTGGACCCAACCGTACGGACAGTATCCACCACCACGTTGTTTAGATCGTCCACATCCATGCTGTTTTCTAGGGCTTCGAAGTGGTTTTGAAGTTTGAGTTGAAAACTCTCAGGGTTTTGGAGTTGTGCAGTTATTGGTCGGAGTGTAGACTTTATCGTCGAGATCTTTCAAGCCAGATATTGATATTCAATGTGCCTCGTACCAACCGGTGATCACTTCCTGTTTTAGCGGTGTTGATCACAGAGACATCATTGTATATTTGCTTTTTCATCGACATGATAAAGTCAATCTCATTTTTTACTTACCGCCGGACTCATCCAGGTTCATTTTTGAGTTGGAGATTTCCTGAAAAAGGTGTTCATCATATAGAGGTACTCCTTTTCCATGAAATCAACCAACATCTGGCCTCTGGCGTCCCGTTGTCCAACTTCAAATTGCCCCACTCTCAGCTCATCACCGCAACGCTTTCCAAACTTTGCATTGAAGTCCCCCATCACGACCGTGTAGTGAGTTTTGTAGCTATGCATGGATTTTGAGATCTCCTCATACATAGCCTCCACTTCGTAATCTGGGTGTAATAAACATTTGCTTTATAACAACTTAAATTATATTTCGCAGCTTCATTCTTTGCGATTTAAGGTTTACATGTTATAGTTGCGGTTCCACGCATCAGCCTTGCACGAATTTTTGTAGCAGTTATGTAAAAAATTGGTACTTTTCTTTTTCTAAAGTGGCAACACTGCCAACCCTACTCGTTTTATCCCCACTTCCTCCACACACAGCTTCCAGTTCTCAACGGTTATATTGAACTCGGTCCGTCATTATGTGTTTCCGCGCAAAAGTATTCGCACGTCAACTCTTATGTGCTTATACTGCTCGTCACGCCACGTGCTCTCTCAACATGGGGAAAAGAAAAAGAAAAAGCAGCGAGGATAAGATCAGAAGAAAAATTCTCAAGTTGGAGAATGAGTTAAGAAGACGTCAGAGGATTATTTATTCGTCAGAAGATGAAGATATTTTATATTGCACCTTTTAGAACACCTATTCACTAAATACCTACCGTACTTATTGACAATTACATTTTATATTTGCTTTCTCTGAACATCCTACAACATGTAAGCCTTAAATCGCAAAGAATGAAGCTGCAAAATATAATAGAAAATCAAACGAACTTACCAAGTGAAGTTCGATGACAATTATACGAGCAGCTTCATTCGACGCGATTTAAACACACCCTCCCTATAATAAAGTAATTGCACATACATACCTAGATATGCCAGTATATTTCCTTTCAAATTAAATCACCCGACCCTGAAAAATAAACGTAGTGCAAATATAAAATGCAAAATTCACTTTAAACAAAATGACGGACCGAGTTCTAAATAACCGTTGAGAACTGGAGGCCGTGAGTGGGGGAAGTGGGGATAAAACGAGTAGGGTTGGCAGTGTTGCCACTTTAGAACGAGAAAAGTATCAATTTTTTACTTACCTGCTACAAAAATCCGTGCAAGGCTAATGCGTGGAACCGCAACTACAACATGGTGAAGCTGCTCATATAAGTGTCATCGAACTTCACTTGGTAAGTTCGTTTGATTTTCAATTATACAATACAAATAGACTACGGTTGCCACAATATGCAACACTTCATAACAACTTTTTATTTATATGCAATGCAAAGTGAAGGAAAAGATAAGAATTTTTTTTTTATAATATCAAGTGACGGAACGAACAAGTCGTGTGTCTGGTGGTAAGCCACACACCTGTCCATAACAGTTGCAGTGCCACTCAGAGCTTTAAATTACAATGATGTGAGAGGGTTTGCCACTACGTCTTCACCCTGAGACATAAGTTGACAAGTTCCACATGCCTGTAATATCATCACCAGCACCCTTATCTTTCAAAACCGAAACGCAGTAATCACACGACCACTTGGCGGCAGAATTAGGTAAGGTGGCAGTACTTCCCTGGATGAACTCTTTCACAAGGAGTACTGCTAATAATATATATATTAACAAACCTAAATAATCGTTTATTAATAATATGACATGTCTGATTAACTATTGCGTTGCAAAAGACGAAGTATATTGATAAACATATTACTATAATTCGGGACTTAATCACGTATAAAACATAGTTTCGGACGTATTGCAACGTCCATGGTCTTGAAAGGACTTCCAATCGTTCCAGACATTGCAATACGTCCGAAACGTCGAGGTTATTAATACATGTTTTATACGTGATTAAGTCCTAAATCAAATAATGCGTAAAAATCGTGAAAGTTTAAATCAAAGTACATTAATATAAGTTAGATAGTTTATTCGAAGTTACTGAAATATCATAATATAGACAAAACATGCGGCAATTATATAAGGAGAATAGACACACTTACGGCCAGACGCTGAAAAAGTAAGATATGGAGATTGAGATGCGATCTTTATGGTTAAAATCATTAGTAAAATTATTTTCGCACCATTGAGAATACAAAAAATATATATCTAAGTGGTATATATCGTACCTTTGTAGTTGTCAATTGTACAAATCAACCATGACCAAAACCTGCTTTTGAAATAAACATATAATTTTTCAACTGTTATATTTTTGTACTCTGAATTCAAGCTTTTTTTATATAAAATTTCAGGCAAAAGCCATCAACACGGCTCTTTTTAACTTCGACTGGATGAGCTTAAGTGCAATTGACAAGAAGAATTACTATATCATTGTCACTTTTGTTAATAAGGCCGAGTTCGGCATTAAAACTGCTACAGGAAATGATTTGTGTCTGATCACTATGACTTCAGTAAGTATTTCTTTAGTAAATTTGTCGAAAATTAAAATAGATAAGCAGTTTATTATATCTAAAACAAAAATGTTCTTGTAGTTATTTTATAATTTTTTTATGATACGAAGCGGTTGAGGGATTAAATAAGCCCAAAAATATATATAGGTAACCGTAGTATTACCCCAAAGACAAGTGAAACGGCCTGCGAAAAATGACCGGAGAGTGGACGCACAGAATCTACATCTATAAAATAATAAACTTGTGATCAGCAATGGTTCGCGATAAGCTGATGTTCATAAGAGTCCCTAAATCCGTGTGCATAGCATCCCTGCTTTCATCTTCCATTTCAATAAGTTTTTGTAAAAGGTTGTGTCCTTTTTAGGTACTTCAAGTAACATACCGAGCATTCACAGTTCTACAATCCTTTGCATAAATTATATATTACTATTTGTTCGAGTGCATTACGTCCGATTCGCGGCGAGAAATCTCGGATGTAGTTCGGATGTCTAAACTGTGACATATCAGTGGCTTCATTAGTGCGTATAGCAATATGCGCCACGTTTTTAATACGACGAGTTATTATAGTTCATGTGAATGGATTTCTATGTGTAGTGCTCACATCTATGTAATATTGCTACAAACTGGAATAACTATATCTCCGTAGTGCGGAAGGGACGAAGTGATTCAAGGTTGCGGTAACGATTGACGACGGGATGTTAATAGACTTCGATTAGTTTGTTTGTGAATTTACAAGTGACGTAACGTTTAATTTTAATTCTTACTTATTTTATTAATTGGACTTTACTATTTCAATTTTTTTTCATTAACATTGTACGAGAATTGTTTTTAGTATATAAAAACAATTCTCGCTTTGTATTTAGATTTTTACTTTATATTTTTTTATTTTAAAGCATTTTAAACGCATAATGTAACATAAATAATGGAAAGTACATGAATAATAACAAAACAATATTCAAAGCACTTGAATAATTAATATCGAGAGGATGAAAGGAGGGACAAAAACAAGAAAAAACTATGTTAACTATCGGTTCATTTGACATCTTTGTCCGAACATCCGAACTCGGGCTGAGTTTTCTCTATTCTATTTTCACGGATATCGATCGGAAGCAGTGCACAAGTATTCTTAAGTACTGGAAATGGAACTAAATTTCCGGATCTAAATCAGGTTTCGGGCTTTTTAGAGATCCCGTAGGCACGGCTGACTGAGATAGTAAAATCAGTTGTCTAATATTAATGCAAACCACCCTATTCTAAACTTCAGCTACAAAAGTCTTTATCTCATTTTATTTACCAAATAATGTTCCCACACACGATTTGCAAATATTTTCTTTGAATTTTCTTTTCATTGAATTAAATTATTTAGTTATGAGGAAATTAGAATTAAAATAAAACATAGTAATGAATAAGTCGGCAGTCTTACGTCTGTTTGATATTGTTTGTAATTAATACAATAAAAATAATACTCGACTGTTCCATGCGATACAGTCTTCAAGAGCACTTTATATGCAACAACTTATTTTTTTACGGTGGCTTAGGGATCCTTATTAAAAAGTGATTGTTTTTCTAAGTAGACTGCTTTATTTATTTAAGTTATTTAACTACGGATCGCACACAGATAAATAATTTGTAGTCATTTGCTTAGTTATAAATTATGTGTACAAATAAAAAAACAAAGTTTGCGTTTAAATTATATCAGAAATAGTCACGATATTCAGAATCGTAAATAAAATTGTATACTATAAACATAAATATTGTATAATTTCAACCCAATCAACGAATGTTAATAGCATTGATATATTAAATAAAAAGTTGAAATATATTTGGTTTTCTGTACTATATATCACTTGCCATGGTATAATGAACCATGCCGAAAAAGGTGATAGTCGAAAATTCCATATTCAACAACATTGGTGTCAAAAATTATTTTGAACAGCTATTTTGAGTGCATTTTGTTGATTACAAACTCAATTATGTAATAAGAGAACATGCATAAAAAAATGCTGAAAGATATCTGCATGCTACTGTATAGGTACTTCCAACATGGTTTTCGAGCGTAAGAAGAACTATCATTAATCAGATTATCATCACCATCGACTCATCTCTTAAATTCAGTTAGGGTCCTTATGGGATAAAACTAATTACCAAACACATTTAAGTGATTTAGTAAAACTAGATTATTTTTAAAGAAATTTTGGAAATAAACACTGTACTTTTTACCAAAGAATGCACAAAATATGACCACTTCTATAAATAATTCTACATTTATACTTAGCGCTCCGCATCATTCCACTTAATACACAATTGCAAAATGAAATTCGTATTTCCATGGACACATAACCGAGGCTAAAGTTTGTAAAGGTAGAATAGAAGGCATCTTAAAAGTGAGATAGCTCTACAGATAAAAAGCGCTTTCTCAACTGATCAAAAGTTTACCAAAGGCGATATGTTAATGTCGCAGCCGAAAGTTCCTCTCGAAGTGTCCTTTTGTCTTCATCATCAGTTTCAAATCGCTACACATGTAGAAAGTGTTCTCTAAACTAACAAAGCGATCCCGAGTACAATAATTATGTTTAAATACAATCGCCTAAGAGTTTTTGGAAGAAAAAAGTAAAGATGTACGTAATTTGAAAAGGTACAGGATGTGGGGTTAAAAATCCATTTGTAAAATCTGACTTGAATGCTCTATAAAGAAGAGAAATCATTTTTTAAGTTGACTCTCATCTTAAAACTAAATTGATCAGCATTACATTGTTAAAACCCGCAGGCATATTTCTTAATGGTCACTCAAAAGTGTATTAACGAAAGCTTTATTAGCCAATTCATTTCTGTCTGTTTGCACCCACTGCTGACTATAAGCCTCGTCTCTATTGCGCCATTCTTTTCGGGCCCTTGCGAGTCGTGTCCAGTGGTTTCCAACTATGGCCTTAATGTCATTAATCCATCGGGCGGGTGGTCTGCCTCTTGGTCTTTTCACGTCTCTTGGCCACCATTCAGTAACGGCTTTCGTCCATCTTCCATCGTCCCTTCTAGCCAAGTGCCCCGCCCACTTCCACTTAAGCTTGGCTAACCTCGTATCCCCGTCTACTACCTTTGTACGATGTCGAATGTTTACATTGGGTACGTGGTCCAGCAGAGAAATTCCGAGCGTGGCGGGCTCCATTGCCCTTTGTGTTACTCGAATCTTGTGCACGTGTTCTTTCATGAGCGGCCATGTCTCGGGAGCATAGATAAGTATAGGTAGGACACATTGGTTCAACACCTTGGTCTTCAGGCATTGAGGGATTCTAGACTTAAACACATCTTCCGACTTATTGAAGGCAGCCCATCCTAATTGGGTTCGTCTCGTGATTTCTTTAAGCTGAATGGCAGGGCCGAAGGATAGACAATGACCGAGATAGATGTAGTCGTCGACTACCTCTATAGGGCAGTTGCTTATATTTATATTATATTTAGGACCCGCAAAGTTGGTCATAGCCTTGGTTTTGGTCATGTTCAACCTTAGGCCCACCCTCATCGATGCTTGGTGCAGATCTTGGAGCATGCTTTGCAAGTGTTCGAAGCTAGGAGGAACAAGTCGTCAGCGAAGCGCAGATGTGTTAAGTTAAGCGGCCATCGATGTTTACTCCTATCTCGTCCCAGTCAAGTGTTTTCATGATGCCCTCGAGCACAGTAGTGAATAGCTTGGGTTGGAAGTCCCGTTACTTTTATATTATAATGTGTGATAACCGCGTTAGTTTTCATAATAAAATGCAAAACTCTGTTGTAAAGTTTTGTGAGAGGTCTTAGGATAATTGGAGAACCTGCTTGTAGCAATTCCACGCAAACTCCATCGTCGTCTGACGCTTTGCCACGTTTCATTTGCTTCAGAGCAAAACCAACTCGTAAATATCGTAAATATTAGTCAATTATTCACATTAAAATGCTTATTATTTGAAATAACTATCACATTTAAAATAAATTAGTTACGGGTTTGTCTTGAGTGTAATCGGTTAAAGAACAAAATGGTAACACTAAATGATATTGGTTGGGTAAAAAAAGAAGGAAAGGGGAAGGATAGATTAGCATAGTGGGTGCCAGTTGGTGCTCCTCAGTGCTCCTTGTGAATATAGTGTGCGTATAGTGTCCGTGTAAGTTTGTGAGATTAGCGAGAGAGAGAACGTTTTTTCAGAAATATACTTTAGTGCGTCTATGAACCTATCGTTTAATTTTAAATGTATTCGCAATGCTAACAAGCATCTCATTCACTTATACTTATACTTTTATAATTTAACATGAAAAATTCTAATTCAAATGACCAACTTTACGTTGAATTTTAGGCCCTAAATTCTGCACATTAGAGTTTGTTAAATGGAATCAGGTTTACACGCCATTCTGTGAAACGGGTTTAAAAGGTGGATTTTTCGCAAAAAACAATGTGATTAATATTTGTTATGTTTAACGTTTTAAAATTACGCAAATGTTCTCATGGATAATAAATATCAGGATAAGCTGGAGACTATAAAAATATATCTATTATGCAACGATGTATACGACATAAAACGGTACTTTATACTATGGATACGGATTTTTTTAATACTGAGCTAAGACTATTATTACTAAAAATATATTGATGGTAATTGCTAATAATTATATTACAAAATATTGTTTATAATAATACACTAAAATGTTTAATATGTATGTTTATGTTTAATATGTGTAGTATGTTTGATATGTGTAGTATGTTTGTGTGGTTTCGTTTAATCAACGCCAATTGAAAAGAATAAAACTTTATTGTTGAAATCGGGTGTTGAAAAAGGTAAAAGATATCGTACATGACGGTTTGAACAAATTTTGGATGCTCTTTTCGAGTTTCACCCGTATTTCGGGTCGAGTAGGGTTGCCAGCGATTTAATGGAATATTACTATTTCCTCAGATTATTAAAACAGAATTTTTAATTTTTAATTTTTTTATTTGGATAATGTTGACGAATAAAGTACCACTTACTGTTTCTAATGCAAATTGATAATATTATTTGTTTTGTAGAAAGTGATTTTTTTTATTTTTCATTAAGAAAATTGTTCTGCCATCTAAATGAAAAAAGCAGAACTAATATTTGTTTAAAATTGAGTTATGTACATATTCGGGACCAGGCTAAAAAGGTTATGTACGTAATGTTTTGTAAAATCCTCAATAATTGTTGAAAATACAATAAGCTGGAAAGACACAACTGTCGTTACACTTCAGATTTTCTACCATAAAAAGTATATATAATATTTCACCTTTTATTATGGCGGTAGGGTTTTAATAAAAATTGTAAATAGACAGCTAGGATAGAACACAATGACGACTTTTCAATGAAAAAAAATTTTAGTTACTATTTAGCCTAGTAAACGTAACTCGTTTCAAGTGTAATATTTCAAGGACAATTGAAA